AGAGGACAGCCAGCGGTCCCCGCACATCACGTGTCCACCATGCGCAGGCCACCTCTGATACACAGCCAGCGTCCACGTGTGGGGTCTCTCTGGACACTCAGCCCTGTCCCCGTGGCCTCCGGTCTGTGTCAGCACCGCACCATCTCCATGACCACGACTTCATAAGCAGTAGTGACGCCCAGAAGAGCAAGTCTGTTGCCCTGTAATTCAGCCATGTTGCTGACTCGTGTCCTTTTGCACTTCTGGGTCAACTTCACGCTTGCCGAGGTTCCAACACACAACCCTTGGGATTTGTACTAAGATTTGGAGAGAGTGAATTCACCACTGAGGCTTCTAGTCAATCAAACACAGGTGTATTTCTCCATTTAATTATGTCTTCTTGAATGTCTCTTCTTTATCATTTCTCCTTCAGGTTCTTGTATATCCTCCATTAGATACTAGACTTTTTTGTATCATTGTACACAGGTTTTTCACTCTTTCCTTTGAAATAATTTTGATTTACAGAATAGGCAACTCTCCCAATCACTTTTCACCAGCTTCTCCAATGTCAGCCTCTTATATAACAGTGGTACAATGACCAAAGCTAAGAACATTGCAACAACACGGTTAGTTAAAGCAGTTTAGTTAATTTGTGTGGATTTCCCCAGTTTAACATCGAACGTCCCTTTCCTGCTCCAGGACCCGTCATTACATTCAGTTAGCAGGTCTCCTTGGCCTCTGCTCTGTGGCAGCGGCCTGGTCCCTCCTTGCTTCTCCTGATCTTGACCCTTTTGAGAAATACTAGTCGGGTGTCAGCGTCCCTCCGCGTGGGTCTGATACCCTCTCAGGGTTAGCCTGGCATTGTGGGTTTGTGGAAAGAATGCCACAGAAGAGAGGAGAGGTGCTTTTCTCAGCGAGCGCATCATGTCTCGGTACATGATGTCAACATGGCTTGTCAATGGTGGTATTCACCTGGACTCACTTCACCTGACTCACCTGGTTAAGGTGGTGTCAGCCGGGTTCCTTCACCGTCAAGCCAGAGTTTTTCCTTCCCCACAGTCTAATGAGACCCAAATCCCTGAGTCCAGCCCACGCTTGGGGGGCCTTGGGCTGACCTCCTTCAGAAAAGCATATGGAAGAATTGGGGGACATGTGTCAAAACCACCACAGCGATGCATAAAATCTGAAGGGGGACGCTTTGAAGTTGCTCCTTCAAGTGTCACCTACTAATTTCAGTGTTCATCTGTGGGTTTTTCCTGCAGCAGACATCAACGTGGTGTTTTAATGGTGCTTTTTCTATTTTCCTCATTCTTTCTACATTTTTTAGAATTCTTCTGTAAGGAAGAGTCGACCCTCTCCTCCAATATTTATTTAATGTAGCTCGTATGGACTCGGGGATGTTTATTTTTTGAGCTGGAGTGCAAGACTATTGTTACTTTGTGGCTCAGGTTGTTCCAGCTTTGGCCAGTCGATTGAGTTCTTTGGGGTTAGTTCCGGGGTCCATTCGTTACACCCCTATTCTTTTCACTTATTTACTTTTGAGGATTTGCTCCCTTTCTAGCACTAGACATCTTGCATTTCCCCTGCTCCAGCCCTAGAGCCGCCGTGCGGCCATAGCCCTGGTTCCTATAGCTGGGGAGTGAACGGTCTTTAGACACCAGGGCCTGGGCACTGTGAGTGCTCGTTGCTTCAGGGGTGTCACTGCTTCTGGGGCCACTCAGAAGACACAGCCGGGAGATCTGTGTTTGCACACAACCTAAGTATGCACACATCTTTATCTGCTTCTGTGTTTCTACTAAGCTAAACTAGTTCATGCTGATATTTCTGACCACAGGGTTCATTCACACACCCCTACACACCACTTTTTCCTTTTTTCCCTGACAGCGAGAAAGCCAGCTTCCATTATTTAGAATTTATTTACTTGTTTGACCCAAATCTACATGAGCACTGGTATGAACAACAAACTTACCAACCAGAACACTGTGTTTCTGAGGTTTTGGTTTTCACTTCAGCCATATTGTATCCGGTCAAAGGATGGTTTCCCACGGCTTCGTCGCCCATTCCTCTTGCCCTTTCCTTTGGTGCCATGTTGTACGTTCATCACACAGAATTCACGGCGCACCATTTGCTTTCCATCCAAGGATCCTCCAACTGGCTGGCTGATTTCTTTTGAGTTTGCATACAGTCAAATTCCCTCTTGGAGGGGTAGTTCTGTGGGTTTTGACAAATGCCTGCAGTTATGCACCCACCCCCACCGCACCACAGAGAAGTTCCGTAGCCCTAAAAATTCCCTCGTGTGACCCTTTTGAAGTCAAGTACTCCCCCTCCCCTAAACACTAGCAGCCATTGATCTGTTTTATGTCCCTGTAGTTTTGCCTTTTCCAGAATGTCATATAAATGGAATCATATAATATGTAGCCTTTTGCATCTGGCTTCCTTCACTGCTTAGCAAAATGCATTTGAGATTCCCCCATGTTGCCACGTGAACGATTAGTTCATTTCTTTTGATTGCTGGGTGGTACTCCAGTGTCAGGATGTGCCCGTTTGTCCATCACCTACCAAAGGACATCTTGGTTGTTTCCAGGTTTTGGCAATTGAGAGAAAAAGTGCTATACCCACTTCTGTACAGGCTTTTGTGAGCATCCATTTTCCATTCACTTGGGTAAATATCTGAGAGGGACCTCTGGGTCACATGGTAAGTGTCTGTTTAACTTCACAAGGACCCTCCCAGCCCTTTTCCAATGTGGCAGCACCAGCCTGCATCCCCACAGCGGCACCTGAGTGTTCCAATGGCTCCTCACCCTCGTGAACACTTGGTATTATTACCAGGGTTCGGGGTGTTTTTTGTTTGCTTCCTTTTCTTGTCTTTTAATGTAAGGTGAGGAGTAAGGCTCTACCTTCTCCCCGCAAACATCCAAAATTGACACCACTGAGAAGTTTTAGCCATTCTAAGAAGGGTGTGGTGGCAGCTGGTTGTGGATTTAATTTGCATTTCCCCAGTAATTAGTGCGGTTGGCTGGGAGCCCCTCCTCACGTGCTTATCTGTAATCCATTTTTTATAACCAGGTTGTTCGCTTTCTTGTCAAGTTGCAGGAGTTCTTTCTATATTCTGGATACAAGTTGTTGACCAGATAGATGACATACAGACTTTTCCTCCAAGTCTGCGGCTTGTCTCTTCATTTCCCTCGCAGTGTCTTTTGCAGAGAATATGCTTTTAATTTCGATAAAGTCCAATTTTTCAATTCATTTTCCCTCACAGATTGAGCTTTTGGTGTTGTAGTTCAAACCTCATTGCCAAAGCCAACGTCCAGAGATTTTCTCCTATGTTTCCTTCAAGAAATTGTATACTTTTGTGTTTTATTCCAGTTTTTCTTTCTCCTAAGTTTGTATATAATACCTTTCACGTTTTCGTTTTCTGATTGTTGATCTCCCACAATGTTAGGTATAAATGCTAAATGTATTAAAATTTATACACACACACACATCCATACATTTATATTACAAATAGAATCAGGAGACAGCTAACTACTTTGGGGTGGGAAAAACCTTCCCTTTTCAAAAGCAAAAGATAGGTGTACCACTTTAAAAACATCAAATGTTTCCTGTGATTAAAAACAACCACAGTAAAGGTTAAAAACACCAAAAGTAGACTGGGGGAGATGTTTGTGCCTCACACAACCAAGGGTTAATGCCTCGAATATATAAAAAAATTCCTACAAATTGACGAGCAAAACTGAGCAAAGGATACGAACAGCCAATTCCGCAAGAGGAAATCCAAACAAGACCCACAAAAGGCCTTCAGCGTGGAAGGAAAAGTGGCACCCGTCCTCATCCACGCTTGGCGGGCGCTGCGGAGGCCGCCCGCAGCCGGCTGGGGAAGCTCGCCGTTCCCACAGTGCTGCTGGGGTCTGAGTTGCCCCAACTTCTTGGGAAAACCACCCAGCAGCATACATTAAGACGCCCCAGGCAGCACCCCATCCCCTGGCCCCGTGCCTCCGGTTTGCATACAGATGGGTGGTGCATCCCTGTCTTAAGCAGGTGGTTTGAAGCTAACAGAGCCTGAACATCCACCAGGCATGGAACGGTTGAGGTAACTTGCAGACTGAAACTGCAGACTGTTACGACGCAGGGCCGCCGTCTACACACCTGTAGAAAAATGAGGTGCACTGAGCGACGGGAACACAGTCGTCACGCGTGTACAAAAGCGAGTGTCACCTGGTGTCGCTGCTGTGCTGAGCAGAGAAGGATGAGGTGGAATCCACGGGTGGCGAACACAGCCGACCTGGGGGGAGGAGGGCCTTCGCGAACCTTGGTTTACTTTTCACGAGTATTTAATTCTTTTACAATGGTAACTTCAGATGAAGAGCAAAATATGTCCAGGTTGAAAATCAGGACTGATACGTATTCCCGTCGGCCCTGAGTGCCTGTGTCAGGCTGCCGAGGGTAGGCCCGGGGATCCGAATGTGAACGCAGCTTGTTGGGGGGCTTCCTGGTCCGCCCTCAGGGTGTGGGTGGCGATGTGACATGGTGGCCTGTGCGGGAGGCCAGGAGCTTTGCAACTGCCCCTTCCTCCTGGCCTTTCGATTCTGTGCGGGCAGGAGTCCGGCCACCATGTGTCTCCGCTGATGCGTCACGAGCCCCCCATCTGCACTCATGTCAGTGCCAGCCCGGTGGCGGGGTCAGTGCTTCCTCGTAGGCCCTGCCTGTCGATGTTTGATTCCTGGGAATCAGGAATCAGGGAAGAGGCCTAGACGCCCGAGTCAGTTGGGGCCCAGTCCTCACTCTGAAGAGGTGTCACTGGCCCTCAACTGCTCCTGGGCCATTGAAGCCTCAGGCACATGGGGGCCATCTGAACCCCCTAGATCCATGGTCTCCACTCCCAGCCCAGAGGGGATCTTGTGTGCGGGAGGGCTCAGGATGTGAAGTCTGTCCCATGGCCGGGTGGCAGGTTGCGGCCCTGGGTCCCCTTTCCATCAGACTTTCTAAGGCTCAACATGCCCCCCACAAACTTCCCCCCACAGTGAAGAAGAGCCCAACACTCCTGGAAGTGAGCACAGCCCATTTCATGAGAACCAACAGCTTTGCCGAGGACCTGGACCTGGAAGGGGAGACGCTGCTGGCCCCCATCACCCACGTGTCACAGTGAGTGCCCACTTGCCCTCCGATGATGGGCTGGAGGGGCATGGGGCCCAAAGGGGCCGCCTCGGTGCCGGGCCAGGTCTCAGGGCCTCTCCCAGGCCGTCACTCGCCGCCTGCCCCCAGCCACCTGGGGCCACGGGCTGCTGGGGCGGGCCGGTGCCCAGGCACCAGGCAGGAGGGGGGCATTTCCCGCCGAGTCTGAGAATACGATCCTCTTGTTTTCACGTATGGAAAACCAGACTGATCATTTTCCACTTGTTTTCGTGCTTTGAGCGTCTGAAAAGATTGTTTTCCCCTCCCCTAGCCCTCTCCTTCACTCCCCCAAAAAGAGACGACTTTGTTTCTGAGCGTTCCCCATGGAACCCTGGCCAAAGCCACGGGCAGATGCTGAGTGCCGCCTGCCAGTTGCCGTGCCTGTTCTCATCTCCTTCAGGTGGAGGAAATGGCTGATTTTCCATGCCTTCCCTACCCGGAGGCACAGCTGGCCTGGGACACATGCCCGTTCTCCCCCGCCGTCACGGCACTGCCAGGCTGATCCCCAGGGCCCGGCGTGGTGTGGTTCCCTTGCGACGTGTGACTCAGTACTCCCAGCCAGGGCACGCAGCGGTGACAGCCTGTGGTGGGGTCAGTGGGGCACTCCGGCCCGCTGTGGCCACCGCCCACTGGGGATTCCCCTGGAGTAGCCTTGCGTCACATGTGTGAGTGGTACACTCAGGCGCTTGTTGGCACTGCCTCCTGTCTGCGGACAGTTCGCAGCGTGCTGTTCTCTGCTCTCCAGGGGTCCAAGGTTGTCCTGAAGTGTGCCCAACGGTGGGAGGCCCGAGGCTTGCTGCCTTTGCCGCTGGCCACACGCCACCTGAGCTGCGCAGGTGACAGGAGGAAGCGGGGACCCGACTCGCAGGGCTTCCTGGCTGCTCACGTCACCGGAGGACTGGCAGAGGCGGTAGTCAGAATGGGAGAAGGATGTGGCTGTCTCAGGGTGGTACTGTGAGCAGACAGGACCCGCCGGCCATCTCTCCAGGCCCCCCAGGCTTCCAGGGAAGTTGGCAGGGAGCAGAGCACGTGTTCACAGGCGCAGTGAGTGCCGTCCAGGTCACCGGGAAGCACGGTGACTCATCCTCGTGGACCCGGCGCTGTGGGGTGCGCTTTCGGGCCATCCCTGGGAATGGGGCTCTAACCTAGGGGCCCACCTGGAGACGACCTGATAAATGGGCTGGCATGATACATGGGTGAGAGCAGAGGTCCGGGCAGCAGCGTGAGCCAGGCGGGCTGGGCAGGCACCGGCTGGAGCCCAAAGGCAGAACAGCTTCACTTAGGCCTGTTCAAAGCCTGGCGCGCAAGAGACCCCAAAGAGGCAGAAGTTAGTTTTGTGCCTAGAGTGTGCGTGACACAGGTGGCAGTGCCTGCTCAGAGAGCCGGCAGCCAAGAGCCTGCTGGGAACCACGACGCTCGTGCAGGCAGACCCCACCCAGGACTCGCTGTGCCGCTCACCCGCCCCTTCTCGCCCTGTTGGCATTCTGCCGCTTCCTCAGCCGCGGCCCGGCCCCTGGACCGCACATAGGAGTTGCACCATAAGAGGACAGAGCTGTCCACCCAGCATCCATTGAGCTGGCCAGTAAGGCGTTGCCAGCTCCGGGGGCCCAGCAAGGAGGCTCACAGGGAGGCTCAGAGTGAGGGTGCTGAAAGGCTGGGGACCAAGGTGGCCCACAGCTGCCCTGCCGTTGCCCCCTCTCAGGCAAGGGCTGTCTGTTCTGGCATCAGCACACACCAAGCCCCCAGGAGGCAGGCAGCCCAAGCCAGTATCGCTGCAATGTTGGAGCGCTGAGCCGTTTCTTATCTTCCCTCCTCTGAAACAGAGGCCATCGGACCTGAACAGCCCAAGCTCTCTGGTTGCAATAGACATGGTGCATCAGCACGGAGAGAGCCTACTGTGGGCCTTCTCAGGCTGGCAGTCCCACAGTGGGGCCGTTTGGTGGTAGGAAGGGGTGTTTCATGTCACCTCCAGCGCTGGGCGGGCGCAGGCGGACCCAAGACCCCCATCCTCACCCAGCCGGGCCGCTGACCTAGACCCCGCAAAGGGTTTCCATGGTGCCGACCTGTCCAGAAACGGTGGCTGAATGTGAGCCAGCTGGGGAGACAGGGTGGAGCCTGGGGGCGGTGCTGGGCACAGGTCTGCAGGGGCGACTGCCAGCGGGGAGACCAAGGTTTGTGTGGAGGGCCACCTCGTCCTTAGTAGTTGGGGTACTGGCCTTGAGGGTGTGCGGGTGTGTGTGTATGGCAACGGGGTGTCGGCATAGCAGAAGAGGTGTCGAGGCCTCAGAACCTAGGTGCCCCGGTGCTGCAGGCCAGGCAGAGGCTCTGCACCACCACGGCCGGAGGAGGCGGCGGCAGCAGTGGGCACCCTGTTCACTCAGGGCTGCGACAGCCTGCAGGCAGGGCGCCCTGGGGCCACGGCCCGCCTGGGGAAAATGCCCTTCTGTGCGGGCTCCAGCTGCCCAGGAGAGCACACGGCTCGTGCCATGGGCACGCCGCACGGGGCAGAGCGGCGCAGGCCCCAATGTGTGTGCGAGGACCCGGGATGTGCACGGGGGTCTCACAGGGGGCAGAGTGGGTGGGAGGCAGTTACTGAAAAACAGATCCATTTTTCTTCAGCATTTTACTGATGTTAAATGTATTACCACGTTGGGCCAGTTCCAGAATCCAAATTAAAAGCATAAATAAAGACACATTTTGTTTCCATCTCAAGCTCTCCCCGCCCGAAGGGCCCCAGGGAGGTGAGGTCACTGCAGCCTTGATTACGGGAAGGTCCCTGGGGCTGGGAGAAGCTTCTCTTCCCGGGCCCATTGGCCATCGGCGTGGAGGGGCGGGGGCCCGGGGCTCAGCGAACAAGGCTGGTGCGAACTAGGGAGTTGCCTGTGGGCAGGAGCTGGGTCAGTGAGTTGGGGACAGAGTTGCTTTAGCCACCCCAGTACCGCAGGCACGCCCCAGTGCCCCCCATGCAGCCCCAGGGCGTGCACACGCTTTTCAAGCAGATGTTCTTCCGGGTCTGGCCAAAAGGGGCCCGACTGCCCCAGCGCCCACACCTACGTCCTCACTCAAAGCCTTGCTGCTGCGCCGCCAAGGGGCAGCGTAAGGTAGAGCTGGGGCATGCAGGACACAGTGGGGGGACTGCGGGAGCTCCCTGCCCAGTTCCATGAGAGGAGGGGAGCCCTGCACCCCAACAGCAGCAGGGCGAGTTCCCTAGGCTTCTGCCCACCGAGGGTCACAGACAGGACTGTGGGAGGGGACAGCCACCAATGTGTGTCCCTGTGCTTTGTACATGGAGTCCCCGTCCAGAACACGCTCACCACTCACGTGCTGCCGTCAGATTCCTACTCTTCCTTCCAACGTCTGCTCAGCCATGCTGGCCTCAGAGAGGCCCAGGGGCTGGTGGGCCACACAGCCACGTCCCCCTCCCGCCCACGAGGCCCTCTGCACCAGCCCCCAGGGCGGTCAGTGTGGGGCCAGGGACTTCTGGGGCGTCCGTTTCCCTGCCCAGCCCTAGGTTCCTGGGGAGCAGGGTCTGTGCAGCCAGCCCCTCTCGGCCTCTCCCCGCCCAGCACCCCTGAACCCTGAAGCCCAGGCCAGAGAAGCCCCAGAACTGCTGCCCTTGCCAAAGCAGACAGCAGCCCCCAGCCCGACCGGGGAGGAGAAACAGGCAGGATTTCAGGCGTCTCGGTGCTGACCAGGGCCGGGGGCAGCTGGGTCAGATCTGGCCTGGGCCTGAGGCCCTGTGGCTCTGAGGTCAGGCTTGGGTGCCCTTCTCCCAGCAGCCATTGCGGGAAGTCCCTCCACCATGCTGGCCTGGAATCCACATCTGCTCCCTTGTGGATACCCAGGACAGACAGTGTGGGAGGCCTGGCCCGCCGTGAGCACCCAGTCCGTGGTTTCCCTGAAGGGTCCCTCAGGAAGGGTTGGTCCCTGGCCCCCTCCATGTCCGCAGTCGTGGCACCTTGGATGGGGAGCCTCGGGGGACACCCTGCACACCGAGATGGCCCTGGGAGGGGAGAAAGGCAGAGGGAAGGCCGTGCTGAGGCTGGGGTGCTGCGGGGCCCCACAGGTGACCGTGAGCACGTCTCCGGCGAGCGTGTTTGCGGGCCTCCTGCGACATGACAGCCTGCAGATCCTTGAGCAAAACCAGCCCTGTGTGTGTTAATTAGAATTTCCATGTCTTCAACTTTCTCCTGGACCCTGCAGAATCTCACGCCAAAACGTTCAAGTTTCTCTTTTCCAGCGAGGCCGCTGTGGCCTGGCTTTCGTCCACATCACTACTAATGTCTCCTGAATTCTGCGTTTGTCAGCGAGGCCAGGGCCAGCCCCATCCATGCTTTCTGGAAATGGGGGCGAACGTCACAGGCTCGACCCTGTTGACCGGGGGCTAGGGCTTTTGATGGTACCAGCGCGCCTGGGACATTTCAGACACTCAGGCCCACTGTGGCCCACTCCCACGACTGTGGGGGCGTGGCCCTGCACCTCTGCACGCTCCCTGCTTTGTTTCCTGCCCTGCAGACCTTGGTGGGAAGGGATGGAGAGGCAGTTCTGGGGCCAGTGTCCAGGGGGCTGTGGAGGGGGCGTGCCAGGAACAGATGAGACCAGCTTGTCTTTCCAGACCGATGTCCTGTCTTCTCTGGAGCTCCAGACCACCTCTGTCTGCATGGGGTGCCAAGGCAGCCCCTTGGGAGGGCTTTGCAAAGCTGCATGAGTCACAGGCTCCCCGTCAGAGCCTCACAGCCCCGGCCAGGCTCAAACCGGTCTCCAAAATGCACGGGGGGATTAAATGTTCTCCTAATTAAATTAAAAGCGAGGCGGAGTGGCTTGGTGGGAAAGAGACGGGACTGGGGATGGGATGCCCTCATGCTGGCTCCCAGCCGGCATGGGCCCAGCTGCGGGCAGCACAGAGGCCCCATAACCTCCACTCAGCAGTGAGGGGTTCGCAGCCAGCCGCCTGGGGCCGCTGTCTCGGT